TTTCCACAAATTCCACAACAGTAGGGTTTCTCCCCAGTGTGTATCCTTTGATGATATATTAAGTTAGAGTTACATCCAAAATGTTTCCCACAAACATCACAACTATATGGTTTCTCCCCAGTGTGTATTCTTTGATGCAGTTTTAATTTAGAATTTCTTATAAAGTCTTTTCCACAAATTCCACAACAGTAAGGTTTCTCCCCAGTGTGTGTTCTTTGATGCAGTTTTAATTCAGCATTTGTTCTAAAGTATTTTTCACAAATTCCACAACAGTGAGGTTTCTCCCCAGTGTGTATCCTTTGATGATATTAAGGAACGGTTTGTTGTAAACTGTTTTCCACACACTTCACAACTATATGGTTTCTCCCCAGTATGTATTCTTTTATGATTTTTTAAGTTAGAGTTACAACCAAACTGTTTTCCACAAACATCACAATGGTAAGGTTTCTCTCCAGTGTGTATTCTTTGATGCAGTTTTAATTCAGAATTTTTCCTAAAGTATTTTTCACAAATTGCACAACTGTAAGGTTTCTCCACAGTGTGTATTCTTTCATGCTTTCTTAAACTACTATTTGCTCTAAAGTGTTTTCCACAAACCGTGCAACTGTAAGGTTTCTCCCCAGTATGTATTCTCTGATGTGTTTTTAAGCTACCACTTGTTTCAAACTGTTTTCCACAAACTATACAACTGTAAGGTTTCTCTCCGGTGTGTATTCTTTGATGTATTTTTAAACTATAATTTCTTCTGAAATGTTTTCCACAAACTGTACAATTGTAAGGTTTCTCTCCAGTATGTATTTTGTGATGCAGTTTTAATTCAGAATTTCTTATAAAGTCTTTTCCACAAATTGCACAACTGTAAGGTTTCTCTCCAGTATGTCGTCTTTGATGTATTTTTAATTCATCATTTGTTAAAAAGTATTTTCCACAAACTACACAACTGTAAGATTTCTCCCCAGTATGTCTTCTTTCATGCTTTTTTAATTCATTATTTGTTGGAAAATGTTTTGTACAAAGTGTACAACTGTAAGGTTTCTCCCCAGTATGTATTTTCTGATGTGTTTTTAAGCTACTATTTGTTACAAAAAGTTTTCCACAAACTGTACAACTGTAAGGTTTCTCCCCAGTATGTATTCTCTCATGTATTTTTAAGCTATAGTTTCTTCCAAAATTCTTTCCACACACTATACAAAGATATGGATTCTCTTCAGAATGTATCCTTGTATCTTGCTTTCCATAATCCACCGTTACAGATACTTTTCCACAGATTACCTGACTGTGTGGTTTATCTATACCCTGGTGTATATCAGATTGTTTTAGGTTATTTACATTTAAATTTTTTTCACATATATCACTTGGTTTTGGAGAGTTGATGACTTTTGTAAAGGGATCTTCTTGTAATAAAACACGAGATTCAGGAAACTGACTTCCACAACAGACTGTCGCACCAGTCTTTATATCTAAAATCAAAATAAATAATACAACAATCACAGTTAATAACAGATGTATATCACTTTATTTGGTGAAGTTCTAATACAATCAACACAGATACTGAAATATAAAATAATTATAACAATTTTCATAGTTTCACACATTTTCCTCTTACTTTACTTAGTTGATCATCATGGAACTTTCTAACATGTTGACTGACGTTAGTATTTTAAAATTTCCTGATAATGAACCCTTTCACAGCAGGTACCCCTTTAAACCCTTTTCTGCACAACTCTGAGTGTTACATTAAACATTTAATCAAACACCTTTAATGTGAATGAAATTAACATTATAATGTATGTTGTGATTTGAAATTTTATGTTATCTGTGTTTTAAGTCCTTTATTTCAAAAGAAACCTTTAAAAACTACTTAAAAATTCAGATGTATTGTCATGTGACCAACTAGCTATAAAAATGCTCCACTCTGGCTCTGTATCTTAAATAATTCCTGTGGCTCAACATGCAACATTCTGTAACTTTGATGTTGGGTTCCAATAATACGACATTACTAAACAAGTTATAATCATAAGCAGTCCTGATGCCCAAACGACAACCCTTGGATCTAGATTTGGGTTCATCAGCCCTGTAATTCCAATGACAAGATGCAGGACCTCGTCTGCCTGGTTAGGGCCTGAACGAATTAACATTCTTTTAAAAATGTTAGCGTTGCGTGTGTGGTCAGTTGACCTTTACTGCCCAAGAATTAGATTTCATAGTGTCCAGGAGAAGAGCATACCGGTTCCAGAAGTAGTGCAGACCCCACTAGTTTGCTATTACTATATCTAATTCTCGCATACTTCATTTCTATACATACACTTTTTGTGTGAATCTTGCCCTTACCAGCCCCTCCACCTTGTGATGTGAGAATCTAGCTATAGTATTATGGAGATGTGTTTTGTAAGTTAACATTTTTCTATACCGAAAATGTATTGCTGATAATACTTACTTCTTCTCACACATTCCTGCCCTTCCTCCCCATGAAGTGAACATTTTTGGCTATGCTAATTTGGACTGTCTTAAAAATTGAATAGAAAATAATAACATGGACTTTATACACAGATCTTGTTTAAGGTGTGCATTGATGTAGGTGGAGAGAATCACAAGATTTAAACTGCTGTGGGCAATATAGTTGGGTATAAAGGCTGGAGCAAGTGAGCTAAGATTCATACCAATGTTTAGATGAGTAGAGAATATGAAACTATATTGTGAGGAAAGGTAAATATTAATGGAAATACGTTTTCGGTATAGGAAAATGTTGACATTTCTGTACACTTGCTAATCATACTGTAAAAGGAATCCATCCTAAACTTGATAAAAGAATATATAACCTTGATAAACCTGTGACAAATGACATATTAATGAACAAAACAGGCCCAAACAAAAAACTAAATTCAAGATGTTGCATAAATTAAAATAATCTCAGTGTACAGGCTATAATGTGGAATATAAAGTATCCTGTGTTTTGGAGTTGACTGTAGAAGTAGAACCCACGTTGAGGTGGCGATACAACATTTACCAGTCTTAACCTCCATTCGTCACTCTCGCATGTTGAAGAAAACAAAATCATAAAGAAAACTATAAGATAGGAGATCAAGATGTGGGTGCTCAAAACAACTATGTCCCACATGAATATCACCCTTCACAGCTTCCAGACAGTTGTGGTAAGTGACTTCTCTCCAAAATAATAACATATAATAAAAAAAAAAGAAAAATAAGGTTCTACTACTGGCTGTAAGTAAGATAAACTTACCTCGTGATGTTGACGTTCCAGCCCCCATTATAGTAGTAAATCACTAATTTAACTTAATTAATAGTACAGTAGATAAATTATACTAGTTTAACTCTCAACCACCATCCATTAATTCCACTGTAACTACCCATTTTCAGACTTTACACAAGCCTTTATATGTGATACGGTGTTCGGTATTATAAATTATTAGAAATATAGAACAACTTTACACAGCAAAGAAAGAAATAACTTAAACGTTTTAAGATAATAAAAGAAGGGTATTAAAATTATTATAAAAAGCTGAACTGTTCATTAATACCCAAAGGACTTAAAAAAACGAATATAAAAATTATCTCTCTTTTTGTTTTCTATTTTGGGTCTTTTATTGCTGTTAGAGGGGGCATGAAGTAAGGCAAGTATCTTCAAGTGCTCACAAGATGGATCAGCTGTGTTGAAGTGCCGAGCTACAGGTTTATCTTGATCTTTAATCAAGATGCTACATAACTGTTATCGTGTACGTTCAGCGAGCATTCGTCTGGTTTCTCATACGAAGATTTGGTCAGAGTTGTTACAAATAATATAATAAACTAAACATTTAGATGTACATGTCAAATAGCTATTAACAGAATACGTTGATTTAGGGCCTCTAATAGATGTTCTATGATCAATATATGATCAAGTGTTGCATCTGCTTCTCTGACAACTATACGTACCAACTTGAGTAGCAGATGTTGTTTTACTTATTTTTGTAGTTTTGAATCCTTTACTTTTCACATATAGTTAATTTTTAATGTTTTATTTTTTGTTCTTGTCACCACCTATTGATCTCGACACAAGTCAATGGTACCCTCAAGGCATATAACAGTTTCTTTGAAAGACGTGCACAACCCTTCAACAAAATTCTCATTCAAAGTGTAATATTGGAGAAATGATAAAAAGCATGACGTATATTTAAACCTTTCAGTTATAACTAATAAATAATTAATCAAAATATAAAAGTAAGACGTAAATACAATTTATAGTGTATCTAAGTATAATGTATTTAATTAAGAACCAACCAACCATAAGTACCATAGTCAATCAAGTAGCCAACAATACTAGGGTCATTTACATGTACTCCATGACGACAACTGCAAATTTCAAAAGGTTATGTAAGTCTGTGTTAAAGTATACTTGACTACCGACGCATCATACATTTATATCTCACTATTTACATGATTTGTCATTTTCCATGCTCCGGCTAGTTTGTTATAGATGTGAGTGATTTCATTTCTTTTATGTTATTTCTGATCTTTTTCAGGGACCCTTTCATCATTTTGATTTTGATCCCACTCAGTGGTGAGTGTTGCCTGATTAGGTATTCTTCTTTCCAAATCTGCACTAGCAACCAGTTGACTGATATGAAAAAAAATCTTGATAGCAGCGAGCTCTATTGCGATGGGGGTGTTCCATAATACCATTAAGTGCACTTTCCGGATGGTAAACAATTATACACATTACTGGTCTGCCATTAATTGATTATCATGAATAAAGCTTAAGGGGATTTTGCCCATCCCTGTTGACCTCTCAGTTTAATAAATCAGGGTCACTTTTCAGAATAGGGAACATGGTTCATCTATTGCATTGTCACTGAAGCATTATTCCTTGGGACTCCCTAATGTGAGTATTCCCCCATTTTTCCTAGTGGAGCATGGGAGTCCTTACCACTTCCAGTTTCCAGTTGCTCGAGTGGTGAACAGAGGTCTATTGCTCCTGAGTGATGCTTGAACTCATTATTCCACTCAAGGAGAAGAGAGCAAAGCTGAGTATCCTCCTTCCAATAACCCTGGATGTTTTTCCCAGATGTATGGTGGGAGCAGGACCAGCCCATACAAGAGCCTCCTCATAATTCCAACTTTTTGCTATCTAGTTGGTTTGAGCATGGTCCTTATTTTTGGTTATTCCCTTGATTCCTTATGATTCTGCACATGGAGCATAAATTCCTGGTTTGTTCCACATCCTCCTCATAATTTGAGGGGTGGGGTGCAGAAGGTGTTGCCTTGCCCATGAGTTGGGGAGCTAAGATTTCAGTTTGTAATCCCAGGCAGGGTAATATCTGTTTCTTTAGGTTGAGTGAGACATGATAGGTTCCGTAAATCTGAGTTCAGTTTGTGAAATTTTGTGCTTCTTCAGGTTGGGGCAAGGGTTTGTCCACTTTTGTGTTGCTTGCTTTCTCTTCATAAATGGGCCATATGCCAGCCTGTACAGTTTTCTCTAGTGGGTGAAGCAACCGAACTGCCAGAGATATTGAGAGATGGCAAACTTGATAAGACAAGACCCAAAGAAGTCTTTGCTCCTCCAACAAAAACCCAGAGTAGGAAATATGAACTAACTGATGAACACAAACTGTCAAAGTGACAGGGGATAAGATATGTGACACATTAGGATCCAAATGGAAAAACTAAATGTGAAATGAACTTCTGAAACCCTTTATTGTACTCAATATAACATATGAGAGCCTGAACCAGGCAAAAAAAAAATTCCGGATCCGAACTGTCATAAAAAATGAGAAATGGAGGGAAAATGAATAAGAGAGACAGCCTTATCCTCTTGTTTAGTACCTGAAGGTTTGGTTAGAAAGGAGCTATCTGGATACAACAGAACATAGGTGGAATGGGAAAAGATGAACATAAATTGGAAACACATCCAAACATCGACATCCACTAGCCAACAACAGAAACAAACAAGTCTTAAGAGAAAGGTATTATAGGAACACAATGCCAAAGGTTCAAAGGGTGGACTAGATAAGGCATAAAGAACTACTGTGATATCCCAATTAGGAAACTGGAAAGGGTACAAGGATGGATAACCTGAAAAGACTTCAGAAGCAAGG